AAGTGTGTGCTTGTCTTGTAACAACAGAAGACAAGAGTCAGGCAACAGATCGTTTATTAAGGAAAATCAACACATATTTTAATATATTTTAATGTACATTATTGTAGATTATTGTTAGTAGAAAATACAGTCTTTTGATTGGTTGTTTCTCACAGAAAGTTAACCTTGCATCTCTTTGTGGCTGTGTCAGATCATCCATATGCTAACTGTGTCCGCCTACGCAAAGGCTTTGTTCTCATTTTCTCACCACCAATATTGGGGACATAAACACTGACGTCAATAATTGTCCACCAACTTTGACTAGCAGCCAGCTCTCACCACAGTCTTCGCGGTTTATTTTCCGAGCCTTTCATAGGAAGTTTGATCAGCAAGATAGCAGAGAAGGGTCAGATGCTGCTTTCTCTTGGCTGCAAATGACCGAAATGCTTCACACACGCACACACACCATTATTTTATTCTTTAGGATTCCATAGTTTTTTTGCACTAAAGCTTTGAAACCAGGGCTATCCAAAGTGAACTCTACATGTTCATTAGTTCTGTTATGAGCGCCAAATGCCTTCACTCACCATATTATTCTTCAAAATCATTGGCACTCCGTGTGAATTCGCTGAATGAGAATTACTCAGAGGAGAAACAACCAGTGCGTAGCGCATATGAGTCTTTGAAGGATGAAGACAGAATTCTTCTCACCAACAGTCCTACTGATTTTATTTCACATATCCTGTATCTTCACATTCACTTTGAACTGCGTGAATACATAGATATGTGTACGCATAGGACTGATAGAAAGATCCAGTGCCATCAAAGAAATCTGAATGTTACTAAATGCTTAGAAGAAGAAACTAATCTGAGTCGAAATCATTATTGGAAAAGCCATGGGAAATATCAAGAAAGACGCCTGCTTGATTTTCAGTAATGTCGCAGAATTTGAGAGATTATAACGGAAGTTTATCCTGTCACCGATACCAAATTTTGTGGACTGGAATAACAACTTATTCCAGTCACTGTTGCCTCAAGTACAAGTGACTGATTCACCAAGGCGTTCCCTAGCTTAATAGATACAACATTATCGATCGAAATGACTCAATAACAACAACAAAGTAGATAAACTACTAACCGAAGTCATTTCTGAATGCCTTTACTTGTATTTACCATCGTATTTTTGACTGTATCAGTAAAACTGCATCGGTTCCATAAGTTGGCTTTACAAGTGATTACGACCTGAAGTTTTGACTACTTAAATGATCACCTGATCGTGTGGAGCCAGGTATATCGGCTGTACCCAGTGTTCTCGATCCAAACCTATCACCGAACACTAACCAGCATGGTGTGTTTCGGTGGCACAGTGGTTAGGACTCTCGCCGACCATGCACATGGTCCGAGGTTCGATCCCCTGCCGACGCACACCCGATATCTATGGTCGGCCTGTAAAATTTGGGCTACCGATATCCATGTTGAAAATACCATACTTGTACTGAAAATGCGGTGTGGCATCAAGCTGTAACTAAAATAAAAAAATAAAATAAATAATAAAAATACAAAGGAGAAAAACAACTCCCCGCAGCTCTGTCTTAGAACATTTGGTAGATTCCCGATACCAAGCTACACCACAAACAAACTTCAAAGTCGTCTGCAGAATACGAAGCAGTCTTCCTAAAAGTGTCCGAGTCAAATTTTTTCAAACTGCAGCAGCAGTGACAATTCATTTGCTAAGTCGTGAACTCTGCATACAGAAGAAGTTCGTTCAATCACTACACTTGCAATGAACGTGATCTTTCTCAATACCCGACAGATGAATTCTACTTTTTTCTCTTCTGTCTCTTCATTAGTATCATTTTGTGTTTTCAATTGTAATATTTTACATTTTCAATCTTCCTGTTCTCTACCCCCACCCGATTTAATTTCTGCACCTCATCACCACCGTTGTTACTGACTTGACCAACGCTCAATTTCTAGTCATTTATGTTACGTCATCCACTTTATTTGCTCAATTTTAGTCCTAATTTAAATGGCATTCAAGTGTTGGTTTCTAGGCATTTGATTGGTTACAGGATTTTCATCATGAGCTGACATTAGTTAGAGAACCATCGGAAAACCTGGGAGTACTGGACATCTGTTTCGTCCTAGTTTGGGACTCTTCATCAGTACGCACCCACCGGGATACGAACCCATTCTTCTCTACCCCACCTCTACTTAGTCTCTACCTGTAATTACCTCTGTTACTATCCTGACCTAAGCTGAAACATTTTAGTCAGTTATATTACGTCATCCAACTTAATTAACTCAATCTTACTTTAGTTGCTGTCTAATTAACCTTGTTTCGATATTAGATCATTCTTGTATTACCTGATCAACTATCTAAACTTGACAGATCTCATGTGCACACAACAATAGTTGTATATAAATGCGACTGTACAGCTATATGAAAGAATTCGCCGTCGAAAAGAGTCTCTTCGCTGATTGTCTTCTCTATTTCATAAGACTCAATGGGGATTTTTAAGCTACTGATTTATGTTTACAGAAGCAGTTCACTCTATAATTTACAATCCATTGAATAAGAATCCGTTTACGCTATTTTCACAGATATAGGCAATTATCGACACTGGTGAATTTGAGCGTCGAACTTCAGCTACAGTAATTGGCCTGTTGGAATCCCTGACAAGTTATCCTGTTCTTTTTTTGGTTTTTATTCCCTTGCGTTCCCAGTAGAACCTAGCGAGGGCTTCAAGCTACAGGCTTGAAGTTTCTGTAGCACGATGTTGTTTAGGAAGTTTTTGATATGGTTGTGTTCTCTGAGTTGGATAGTTAATTTGCGAAGCTTTCATCACCCTACTAGGTGACATCTTCAGCGCATACTTCAATTTGAAGTGAGCTTTTAGATTTCTCAAAGAGTTTATTAATCATCTCTCCCGCTGACCTAGGACGTGATTGGTTGTTTTTGTGTGTTTTCACACCTTCTAGGCTACTTGTATTGGAACTGATTGTTTCTTTGACTTGAACTTTGATCCTCAGTGTGTATGTGTGTGTGTGTGAGGTTTCCTTCTTATCGGTTGGTAAATTTTATCTATTTCGATGTGTCTATTGATTGATGATTCACTGGAATACCAGACAGGCTTCTAAAAATTCTCTAACATTCTTGGTGTTTCCTCTGTCTAATATTTGAACGCTGGTTGTCCCAGTCGAATTGGTGTCCGTGGTTGTCTGTATGCAGCGATATGAGTGAGGGAGTGGATGTCATGTCTTTTGACGGCTAGCTTATGATCGTGGATACGAAGACGAAAGGGACGTCCACTTTGTCCAATGTAGTGTTTTTCGCAGTTATTACAATTTATTTTGTAGATGATGTTGGTTTTATCTTCTTTCGCTTTTGGTTCTTTTGGTTGACATAGAACTGAGTAAAGTGATTTTGTTAGTTTGTAGGCGACGTCAATTCCAAAAGGTTTGAAGAGTCTTGTAATTTCTGAGATGTCCTTTAAATACGGTAGGGCGATTTTCTTTTTGCTTTCCTTGGGGGCTCCAAGCACACAAACCAACAAAATCACTTTACTCAGTTCCATGTCAACCAAAAGAACCAAAAGCGAAAGAAGATAAAACCAACATCATCTACAAAATAAATTGTAATAACTGCGAAAAACACTACATTGGACAAAGTGGACGTCCCTTTCGTCTTCGTATCCACGATCATAAGCTAGCCGTCAAAAGACATGACATCCACTCCCTCACTCATATCGCTGCATACAGACAACCACGGACACCAATTCGACTGGGACAACCAGCGTTCAAATATTAGACAGAGGAAACACCAAGAATGTTAGAGAATTTTTAGAAGCCTGTCTGGTATTCCAGTGAATCATCAATCAATAGACACATCGAAATAGATAAAATTTACCAACCGATAAGAAGGAAACCTCACACACACACACATACACACTGAGGATCAAAGTTCAAGTCAAAGAAACAATCAGTTCCAATACAAGTAGCCTAGAAGGTGTGAAAACACACAAAAACAACCAATCACGTCCTAGGTCAGCGGGAGAGATGATTAATAAACTCTTTGAGAAATCTAAAAGCTCACTTCAAATTGAAGTATGCGCTGAAGATGTCACCTAGTAGGGTGATGAAAGCTTCGCAAATTAACTATCCAACTCAGAGAACACAACCACATCAAAATCATCCACCTGTGCTACAAATCTTCTCCATCATATCTAAGTTTAGGAAGTATACTTGAAACCGTATAAAAACAGGATAGTGCGTTGGTGGCATAGTGTTAGTATACTCACCAGCCACGCAGGTGGTCCGGGGTCCGATCCACGGTCACCGACGCACTCCTTCACCTTGCTAAACCAGTTATGAGATTGGTAAAGATAAGAAAGTTCGGCATGAGACTAGCAACTCCATCCTCCATCCATCGTATTCCAATCATACTGCATCAATTTATATGAAGAGGATTAATTGTTTGGCCAGGGAGCAACAAACGGATATATAATTGCAAACATGACCGACTGGTAACTGTTCATCTTATCTCCAATCGTTGACTGACACCGACAACCTTAATAACTATGTCATCGATTTATTTTCTCATTGAACTACTAATCTCAGTGAAATGAGCCGTATTCTAATCAATACAAAACTCAGATAATGACAACAGTTAATGACTCAGACACAATAGAGATCTCATAAGTACTCACTTGAATAACCACTTCAACACAGTGCATTGATAGGTGTGAAAACACCTTCATCTTCCCATGCACTCAATCAAAACAATCAAATCTAACACTCAATACAAATGTATAAATAGGTGAATGTGTGTGACAGTAGAATGTGTAGACAAGTAGTGGAGTGAATCTAACTGAATGTACACTCATTCCATGATTCCCGCTTCGTCATTCCTATTCTCATTGTTACTGATATGCAATCTAGTCTCTTTGAGTGAATCAACATGGTTAGTTCGTAGTGGAGAGACGGTGAGAGAGAAGAATGAATTCCCGTTTCTCGCTCTCATGGTGACAGACAGTTCGATGTGTACAGCAACATTGGTGTCCACCCGAGCTGTGATCACAGCTGGTCATTGTGTGTGTGGACCGAAATCAATCAACAGGGTGAGTTTGCGTTGCTGTTCGGAGGATTGGTTGTGTTGTGTATATTTTTCTGACGTCCTTCCTATTTCTGTCTTGTTTAGATCTCCTTCCAGACACTAAGTGATTTCGACAAGCGATCGGTAAATTATCAGGCGATATCAGTCAAGGTTGCACCAGAATACGATCCAGTGTGTCAGTTGAAACGAGCCAATCAGCGTACACAACAGTCATTCGGTGGTTATGATATGGCGATTGTGACGTTGTCGGGTATAGTGGATGTGTCCAGTGGAGTTAGAGTGATTAGTTTGGCGTCGGCGTCGGATATTCCTGTACCGAACAGTATTGTTTTCATTGTTGGATACGGGAAGGATTCGAAGGCGTCGGATGATACGCGCAAATATGGTGGTGTATTGAAGAAGGGTGAGTTTGGACTGAAGTATTTTTCATGGTTGATTGTACACAGATTACTGACTTATTAATGTGCATATCTGAGAGTTTCACTTTCACACTGTATGGCGAGCTAATTGTTTCTTCATGTGTTAACTAATAGTGTGAGTGGTGAATATTGTTGTGTCTGTTTGGTCTCTCGTTATTTCTGGAAATCTATTCCCTCTGAGTGTTGCCTACACATCACTTTACGTGATGCAATCGAACACATCTGTTCTCTCAAATAATCAAATTGATATCACATTCATTCTTCTTATCATCATCATTATTATATATTTTGAGTGGCGTTCACTCTAACTACAAGTATTACTTATCGCGGATGTACAGTATGAATCGGCAGGGATCAAATCCCGGACCATATGCATGGTCGGTGAGAGTCCCAACCGCTGTGCCACCGACGCACAATAAAGGGGGGACCGTGAGGCCTCTCCGCTGACAAAAACTACACGCGCGAGCGCACTCGATTAGTGTCCGTCACGAGTTTCAACCCAACGAGGTGCAATGGTGAGCCTCCACCCGGCGTCAGAGTATTCTTGATCATTCTGAACCCGGCGCTTATCCCTCACTCTCTTTCTGTTCTTATGTCATACATAGGTCGTGCCACTGTAATGGAATGTATGCACAAAGTCGTTGGAAATCCAATCTGTATCCGACCTGGTCCCGTTTCAGCACAAATTGTCGGTCCAGGTGACAGTGGTGGACCACTTCTGCTAACGCCTCAAGGACCAATTATTGGTGTCGCTTCGAATGGAGTTTTCCTCCCGGCTATTAATGATTTGACTGTGGAATATGCAAGTGTCAGCAGGTCACTGGAATTCATTATGTCCAATATCTAAAAATTGTGCTTGGAGTGACTTTTGTGGTTTTTTCTGTGTATTTTCAACGAGTTTTTGTTACTTTGTTATTTTATTTATTATTTGTTAGTATTCGTGTTTTAAAATAATATACAATGATATAATGAATTGTGTTGACTTTGTTACCTTACTGTACTCTGATATATGTTGAAGTACTTCACGGCGTCCTTTGGGTTCAAACGCCGACTTTTGAAAATTTGAATAGTACGCGTCTGCCTTGTGTTCATTGCAGTTTGATACTTCTATATTCTTACGTAACTCCCCACATCAATTATTGTGATACAACTGAATCAGTGGAAATCATAAGAATTGAATTAGGCAAGACTTCTGAAAAGATGTCGCGAATTCTGTGAGTTGTGTTCCCGAGAGAATGAAACTAGTATTTGAACAAAGCGAGAACAACAATTGTACCAGAGGATAATATGAGCTCATCTTTTATTATTTCGATAATTCTTCTCAACTGGTTACAACCTGAACGATAAAAAAATATGAATTATATTACATTAAAGATTTGAACATACTTTTCCACGATCACAAGTAGTAAGTAATTGGTAGGAAGTAAAAGTAACATTAGTCCGGAATGATTTAACTAATTAAGAGTTACAAACACTGACTATTTATAGAATAATTAGACGATTAGGCTTGGAAAAAAGAAACAGAGTTATCTATATATGTGTGTGTATCGAAACAAGGTTTATCTAGATAGAGCATAAGAAGAAAGTAGATTACGCAACTAAAGAAAATGTTTTATCTAATAGCCAATAGAAAAAAAGAAGAGAAAAGAACAAGGTAGGGTGAGTAGAGTTTTCTAAACAAGAGAAAGTGTGACTCATAAAAGTTGTGTATATTGTTATCACCAGGGCAGTGGAAGATTCACCACTGTCTCTTTCTGCATACATAGATTTGGTTTAAGTCGTTTGATAGCAATTGCTTCAGTAGTGCGTAGCAAGCCAGGTTTGTTTTGCTTGTTGATTATTTTGAGTGACTTCAGGTTGTCTACAATGTGACCAGTGTTCAGTAGATGACGCGTAATCGCACTGTCTAATGCTTGCGGACGTTTCATTCTCAGGTTCTTTGGTATGTGTTCAGAAATGCGGACAATAACCCTTCTCTCTGTTTTTCCAATATATGCGCTTTGGCACGTACATGTAAATTGGTAGACACAGTTGGAGGTAACATGAGGTGGGGTATTTGTCCACTTTTGATTGTCTCAAACAACTAGTTGTTTGATAAACATATACAAGCTTGGCGGCTGGATATGTTCTTTTCAGGGCAGCATTCAGTCTGCATCTTATTCTACTAGCAGTATCATCACCTTTGAATGTAAGCTGCAGAAAGATAGGCTTTTTCTCTACTGTGCTGCTTTTCACTTTTTTAACATGACTTCTCCCATACTTGTCGATGAAGTTTTGTGGGTAACCGTTCTCGCGTAGGCATTTCTCGACAATGGATAGCTCTTCCTCATTCTTTTCTCTTGAACACAGCTTCCTTACACGATCAAATCATGTTCTCACTAATCCCTTTTTGTAACTTATAGGACAGAAGCTTTTGAAGTTAAGATAAACCGCCCTCCAGGTCTCTTTATTGTGTGTGTATATATCTTACGATTTTGCCGCCAATATCTCATTGGATACCCAGGTCAAGAAAATGGAACTTCTCCTCTTTTTCAAACTCCATTGTAAACTTAATTTTAAAATCAGCACTGTTCAAGACTTTCAAGACTTGAGATGCATCATTAAAAGAATTACAAATAACGAAAGTGTCATCGACATACCTGGTATAGAAGTTGGTCTGACTGATTGCGGATTTCAACCTTGTTTGTTCTAGACTACCCATAAAAATATCTGCCACAATCAAACCCAGGATGCTTCGCCCATTGCGACTTCGTCAATTTGGCCGTACAGAGTGTTGTTCAACTGGAACTGTACGTATTTGGTGCACATAAGTAAAAGTTGCTTGAGTTCGGCATGTTGACATATAATTTGTATTGTTTCTTGCAATAGAATCTTTGTAAACAGTGAAGACACGTCGAAGGACACCATAAATTTATTTTACATGTGCTTAGATTCTCTAATTGTTTAGCGAATTGGAAGGTGTCTTTCAGGCTGTAGACTGCTAATTTACCACGGATTGGTTCTAACATTTCTGCTAGCCACCCGGCTACTTTGTGATACGGTGAATTACACTAGTATTTATGAAGTGACACAATCTACATTAAAATGTGTATAGATGTCATTAGTGTGAAGTTGATGAGTATAAGTGAAATTTCGAAAATAATACTTTTATTTTTATGCCAACAGGATTTGCATGCAAGCTACAATGCACTGAACAAAAGACTAAAGAAGAGTGCCAGGGAAGACAAAAGAAAGTATTATGAAACCATGGCAAGTGAAGCAGAACAAGCTGCAGGCAAAGGAGACCTCGCAACACTCTACCAAACAAATAGGTACCTATCGGGCAAAAGTTTGACACAAATTAGGCCAGTGAAGGATGACAACGGAAAGTCACTCACCAAAGAAGTGGAGCAAAGGAAGCACTGGGCTGAACACTTCAAATGACTCCTAAATCGACCACCACCTACAACGCGCCCAGCAATACCAACAACGGAGACAGAGCTACCAGTGAACACCAACCCCTCGACGAAAACAGAAGTCCTGAAGGCAATCAAGATGCTAAAAGCTGGAAAAGCAGCAGGGCCAGATGGAATCCCAGCAGAAGCATTGAAAATGGACCCAGAGACAACAGCGGACTTGATGACGCCACTACTGGAGAAGGCGTGGAAAGAAGGCAAAGTACCTGAAGATTGGAAGAAAGGATACTTATTCAAACTTCCAAAGAAAAGAGACTTAAGTCAATGCAAGAACTGGCGCGGAATTATGCTCCTGTCCATTTCAAGCAAAATACTAAGCCACATCATCCTGGAGAGAATCAAACATGCCCTGGATGAAAAACTTCGACCGGAACAAGCTGGATTCAGGAGGAACAAGTCATGCATTGATCAGATCGTCACATTACGGATCATCATTGAACAAAGCCTGGAATGGCAGTCACCTCTCTATCTCAACTTCATCGACTTTGAAAAGGCCTTCGACAGCGTCGATCGAGAAGTGATTTGGAAACTACTTCGCTACTACGGGGTGCCACCAACATTTATACATCTCATCCAACAGCTGTACGACAATGCTGCATGCCAAGTAATCCACAACGGGAAACTCACCGAATCCTTCGAAGTGAGGACAGGAGTAAGTCAAGGCTGCCTACTATCGCCAATGATTTTCCTGATTGCAGTAGATTGGATAATGCGACAAACAGCGAGCAATGAGGAAACAGGCATAAAATGGACTCACACAAAACACTTAGAGGATCTGGACTTCGCCGATGATATATGTCTGATTTCCTACAAACTGGAAGATATGCAAGTGAAAAGCAACAAGTTGGCAGAAGAAACATCAAAGATAGGACTTCCTTCAGGTGAACATAGAGAAAACAGAAGCGATGAACATTCCTGGGCAACACCAATACCATCAGCAACAACAACAGACAACAATCAGCCAGCATAAATGGGAAGAACCTGAAAGAAACAAACTCCCTTACCTACATAGCTACCTGGGAAGCGTCGTTTCAACAAAAGGCTGACAGAAATGACAAGGATATCAAAGCAAGAATCGGAAAAGCAAGACAAGCTTTCACTACTCTCAAGTCTATGTGGAGGTCAAGACTCAGCACTCAGCATCAGAAATAAGATCCGGATTTTCAACTCCAATGTGAAGTCAGTCAGTGCTACTCTACACGGATCAGAGACCTGGCGCGTCATAAAGAGCATCTCAAACAAACTACAGACCTTCATCAACAGCTAGCTGTCTTCGGTCAATACTCAAGATCAGATGGCCAGCCAGAAAAGATCAGCAATAGGGATCTCTGGCAATGAGCGAACCAACAGAGCAGGAACCGATTGTGAAACAAATAGTCAGGAATAAACGGAGGTGGATCGGCCATACTCTGAGGAAACCATCAAGTGACATCACTAGACAAGCCATTGCTCGAATGGAACTCTGCCGAAAGGGAAGCTGCGAGTTGGTCGTCAGTGCTAGGGTGATTTGGAGGAGCGGGTGATGTGAAGAGGAGATGAAAACGTGTTGTCAGACATGGAGCCAGGTGGAGACTCTAGCAGAGAACCGAACGCAATGGACACGTGAGGCTGAAGCCCTATGTTCCTCTAGAAATTAAAGGAAACAATAATAATAATATTATTATGCTATTGGGTTCTGAGTGGAACACAGATATTCAACATCGCGTTTCCATTTTGTCCTGCTCTTCATATTCCTCATCACCTGGTTCCAAGATCTTCCACAAGCTGTCATCTTTTCCTCATACGATCTCTTCCATATCACCCTATAAATGACGCCCAACACCTCTTTTCCTACTTGGATTCAATTTAAGTGATTAGTATGCGATGTCAGCCGATGGTTTCTTCAGTGTCTGTCCAACTCATCTCCATTTTCTTGGGCATATTTCGAAATTTCAAAAATATAGGAGCGAGACTGACTTATGTTCAGTGTGAATGTTCATGTCTCTGCACAAGATATCATCCGACTATATAAGAAATGCATGTGAATCAGTGAATATCACAGTGATCCCTGGTTATGAATAATCTCTTAAATTAATGTCGGTTCGTGATGAAGTGTTAATTTTACAACCAATGGGGTCTAACACATCAAGATGGCGTGAATGCTTATCAGAGACACTTTGGTTGAAGATGGCGACAGGAGTACGTATTCATGCATTATTGAATTCCAGCCTAAGTGGATGAATGATCAGCTAGTTTGATCTCGTAACATGACGAACTCAGGTTCGATCTCTGATTGAGTTAAGGATGTATATTACTGAAGAGTCTCAAACTAGGACGAAACGGTTAGCTGTTAAGAGCTCTCCATCTCATGGCATTGGTTCTTGACGAAATCTACACTGAGAATAATCTAAAT